CGCCCCGCGACGCTTCTCTTCCCGAAGCACCGTCTTCCCGGGACCCGTGTGCTGGGCGCCCCCACGCCCAGGTGTGTGAGGCCGTGGGCCCCGAGTTCAGGCCTGGACCATTCTGTGCCCTGTGTGCTTCGCTTTTGCCTCAGACGCTGGACAAAGTTATGCGTTTTATCCCCAGAAGCTTTTGAGACTTAGCTTGTGTAACTTTTAATTTACTTGAAAGGTTTTGTCTGTTTTTTAGAAAGCTTTTGAGACTTAGCTTTTGTAACTTTTTTTTAATTTTAAAGGTTTTTGTCTTTTTTAGAAAGCTTTTGAGACTTAGCTTTTGTAACTTTAAAAAAAAATTTTAAAGGTTTTTGTCTGTTTTTTTTTTTTCCCGAAAGCACTTTCTCATATAATTAGGCTCAAAAAAGAAGCCAGAGAAAAGAGCCTGGGGGCCGCGGCCTTGGACGGCGGAACAGAGCGGCGCCCGCGTCCTTGGCCGCGCCAGCCGGGCCTCTGCTCCGCGGCCCGCGTCTTTCATAGTTTTGTTCGCCTCCTTTTCCAGGGAGACTTTTTAAAATGTTAAGTTTGTTTCTGAGCTTGTCCTTTGTGGAGTGGACTATTCTGACGCGGGGTCTGGCCTGGGGAAGACGCGGTGTTCTGTGGGGCCAGGCCCTGCAGTAATGAGGCTGGGGCTGGAGTGGGGGCCTGCGCGGAGGGGGCTGGGCGCGGGGGGCGCAGACCTTTGCTGCGAGGGGAAGCTGTGGAGCTCTGCTCTGCTGTTATCACCGCACAGAACTGTTTCCCAAGTTACCGAGTTCCCTCTCTCCTCACGTCCTTCCTCACGTCCTTCCTCCAGCGGCTGCAAGCACCCACCTCCCCCCTTCTGAGGGTCAATAACTTGGGGTGATCAGCACACGGTTGCCCCTGCAGAATGCTGGTTCCCAGGCCCCCTCCAGGGGAGAACCCGCTTAGTGAGCCTCTCCCGGGGAGGCCGGCACGTCCTGGCTGATGGGAGACTGAGGTTTTTCAGGCCATTTTGGTAACCCGCTCGCCTTCTGTGTGGAGACCACAGACAGGGGCCACCAGGTTCCCTGGGACCTCAAGCAGCAGGGCGGCTCTGAGCGCCTGCCCGCTTGGCCGGGCAGCCCTGGTGCAGGGTGCTGGCTGGGCGGGAAGGGCGGTGGCCCCGGGCACTGGTGACCCCTCCGCTCAGGTGAGGCGGCTTTGTGGGGAGGCCCCGGCAGGCCCCGTGGGAGCTGTGTCTGCGATTTCACACCGGAGGTCCATTCTTCCCGGCAGCGGGAGGGGGTGATCAGGATGCACCTGGCAGGGAAGGGTGGACGCCTCGGATGACCGAAGCCGGCTGTGGGGGAGGGAGGTCACAGGAGCTGGCCGGCGCTCTGCGTTCTGGGGCCCAGATTTCAATGAGGCTCTGTTTTTCTTGGGAACTGCTCTTACCTATAAAATACGCCTATGTGTGAGGGAGCGCGAAGAGGGGGGTGGTGATGTTTTTCTTTAAAAAAAGCAAATATAAAAAATAACAGTGCTGTGCGCGCCTGCGGCGGCTGGAGGCCCCAGGTCTGTGCAATCTCGGCCAAGTCACTACTCCATCCCCGCGCCTCCTCTCCCTGGTCTTTAGGAAGGAATGCACTTACGGTGACAGGCTGTTCCATCTTCGTCTCAGGCTGTGGGATCCGGGGGAGGGGGGGGGGGGAGGGGGAGAAGCCCTCAGTGCAAGCACAAGGTGTCTGCTGACAACCTGGGACCCCCCCCCCCGCCCCCGCGGCTGTTTTCTGACTCAGACTCAGCAACTCCTGGGGTACCTGGCACCTCTTGGACACGTGGGGTGTTTTTGCTGAGCTGCACTGTGTCGAAACCCCTGCAGGGGCTGTGAGGAGGGTGTGGGCCACGCCTGGTGAGAAACTGGGCAAGATAGAGGGCCCCAGGCCTTTGAACAAGACAACAAGATGGCCTCTCGTGTGGGATCTTGGATTTGAGGGTTTGGAGGCCCTCGCCGGAGCGCCCAGGGTCCCAGGCCAGACTCTGTGCAGCGGGCCCAGCTGGCTGGGGTCAGGATCTGTGGGGCCCAAACCCCAGCCCAGGGCACCCGATTGGCTGTCCCTCCCGAGGGAGCGGAGCTGCGGGGTGGAGAGACCTCAGCCCCTGGCCTCACTCCCCTCTGGCCTGGCTGCTTTTGTCCTAATGATGGGGAATGAGGTCAGCATTGGCCACGCAGCAAACACCATTTTTTTTTGTCCTGCGGGGAATGGTTTGCTCTATCTGAGAACGGATCTTGTTATCTCCAGCAGGTCCCCTGTTTGCTGGCTTGGGGCCTTTGCATGTGTGGGATGGAAAAGGGGGTGACCCCAAGAGCACAGGTAGGGCCTGCCCTGCACCTGGCTTGGGGCTCCCCAGCGCCTCAAGTCGGTCCCACACCAGAAGGGCAGCAAAAACTTTTATTTCTACACGCACACAGGCACATGTGTACACACACAGCCACACATGTGTACACACACAGCACACATGCGTGTGTGCACATACATGTGCACACACTTATATTTTCAAGTGCACACACACACACACACCCCGGGATGTTTCTCGTGTTGCTAACATTTAATGTTCTAATATTAAAGTTGGAGGCACCGAGGGGCTGTCTTGAAAGGCTCATTCAGCCTGTCTGCCCCGAGCGGTTTTATTTATGTCTTCTTGTCACGCACGTCAAAGAGCCCTGTGTTCCGCGCAGACTGTTCGGGTGGCTGAGTGTTTTGCTTTTTGGCTACAGCTGGTTAATTTTTCCGAGTTTGTAGATCCAGGTGTGCGCTGCGAAGTTTTTTCCCAGCATGAGGAGCTCCCCAGTGAGGCTCAGAGGCCTCCTAGAAATTTCCGGCGTCCTACGTGCGAGAGACGGCTAATTTCAGAGAAGTTATGAGTGTGGGGGACAGAGGCGCCGGTTTCTGTGTCCACAGCCTCCCCCTGGACGAGGGGGCTGGGAAGGGCCGCCCTGGAGCCGGATATTTGGAAGGCAGAGTTGAAAAACTGGTTACCAGATAAGATATCAGCAAAAGCACAAACGCTTGATGATAGTTTAAAAAATTCCTGCCTGTGAGCATCCTCCCAGCGAGCCCAGGAGGGAAAGTGCCGGCCAAGTTGCTCGGGGTTTTGAAAAACATTTAAAAAATACATGTTCATCCTGTTTTTATTTTCTGCTCATTAGGTTACTTCTTATTTTCAAAGTTCATGGCACCCCTCGTCAGATTGTTTAGATTATCATCGTCTTTTGGTTGGAAAAAAACCCCCACAAAACTTCAAGTTTTTTCACAATTAGGAATTACACCAAAAGTTGCTCTATGCACAGCAAGGAGCAAGACAGAACAAAAGCACTGCTTTCTTTTTTAGTATTTTTTTTTTTTTGCAGCCATTAATAGGATCTTGTCTCGCAGCCATAAATTTAGTTAAGACATTCTTCACTTTTTGTGGAAAGGGAATGTATGAAAAATCTGACCTTAACCTTGCCTTTTTGTTAGCGACCTAAAAGCCGCGAGTCTGGAAAATGAAACTCATTATGTAGAAAGCAAAGTACTTACCTGTGCTGTCTGGAAATTGTATTAGATTAAAAAAAAATAAAATGGGAGTATTTAAATAAATAAGACCAGTGTGGTCAAATTTCAAACAACTGATCCTCGGCGCCCCCATCCCTCATTCCGCATGTGTCCGTCCCGCAGGCAGCGAGGCTGCTGCAATCATTCTAAAGAAGTGATCTGTGAAGCCTGGGTTTTTTTTAAGTTCTTGCTGTCCCTTGCAATTTAACAATGCACCGTTTGAGTTTCAACTCTGGGTTTATTTTCTTTCCTGGCCCCCCCTTTTTTTCTCCTAAAGGGCTCATACTTTACCTAGATCTCCGAAGAGCCGAGCGGCTAAGAAAGGATCCTAAAATTCTCATTCCATTTGTGGGGAAGGGGGGAAAAAAATGTAACTGACTTTCACAAGCCTTTCAGCATTGTTTAAAAATTTTTAAGTAAACATTTGACAGTTTTTAAAGTTTAAAATTGCTTTAAGTTTTTAATAGCTAAATTCTCCTTAGATGTGATTTAAAAAGCATATGTGGTCATTAAAATAACGACTCTTTCAGACCCCTATAAAGGATTAATAAGATCTAAAAATACTTCAAATAAATCAAGGCTTTCGGCTGCGAGAGGAAGGCATTCCTTAGACACTTGGGGAGTGAAATTCCTTTCACATTTTCTGATGTCCTTTCACTTTTGTGGAAATCCGTACCTTCTCCCAGAAACAAACTCCGAGCTCTAACTTATCTTTAATTGCTCATAAAAATTGGCTGTAAGTGGCACAATGAGTTCTTTAGAAGAATGTTAATTTCCCAATTTGTGATGACTCCATTTTAGAAATTGCAGGACTGGGAGACTAACATAAACCCAGCGCCCACTTCTCTTTGAAAGGTAACTTTGAGTTTTCAAACGTGCTTTTTGCCCTCTCCGGTACAAACCCGAGGCGCTGGCGCGGCCTTTGAGATGCAGGCGCATGTGTACCTGAGGACGGCCGCCGGCACCCCTAATTCCTGTTTTCTGGTCTGTGCTGTTGCCGCGTTGGAATGCAGATATTAATTGCAGCTCCTCATCTGCCAGGGAGGATTTTCACACTGGCATCTGTGTTTCATCTGCGGCCCGTTCCCACATTTATACATGTGTATGATTGAACACACATTTATGGAGACTCCTAGTTGTTTTATGTTCTTTTATTTGAAAAATAATAATTAACTTCTTAGGAATGCTTCCAGGGTTGTTAGACTTTTTTATATACACACGTAGGTAACACATCGTGGAAAGCGAATGCGTGGACTTTCCAAGGTGTGTGAACGACCATAAACCAGCTGCTCGCGGAAGGTTTCTAAACAAACACGGGGCTGCGCGGGGTGTGGAGTGGCCGCTGTCAGTCCCGGAGCCGAGGACGTGCGGCTGATCGCTGTCAGCTGCGGGCCCGCAAAGTCTGTTCTTTAGATATTCTTTTTTTTAAAAAATGAAAGGACACCCAGAAACAGCCTGGGGCGCGGGGGGGCTGCCGAAGCAGAGCCCCGCTCTGCGCTGTGTCCCCCAAACATGCTCTCTCCACGGCCGGGGCCTCGTTTCTGTTGCTGGTTGTCACGCCAAGTTTGACATAAAACTGAGTGAGCGAAAGCAAAAGGGTTTGAAAATTGCTTCATTATGCTCAGAAGGAAAGACCCGTCCGACGGCGCGCGCTCAGCTCTCCTTCCTCGGAGACCGTGCGCAGGGCAGGGCCGCGCTCTCCGGTTTTGCTTCTAGCTAAACTAGCAGCCGCCCGCCGCCCCGCCTCGGCCTCCGCGGGAGAGCGCCGCCCCGGGCATCGGCATCGGTGCTCATCGGCGTGTGCGTAAATCACTGGGAGTCGACATGAAGCTTCCACCACGCGGGACAAGGTATTACAAACCCGGCCGGTGGGAAGGGAGCCCCGGCCTGCAGAGGACTCAGACAAAGACGGGAGAGCAGAATCCCGCGGCCGGTGTGCTCCCTCGCAGCCCCCCAGGCTCCTCCCGAGGACACGGGGGTCACGGAGGAAGCGGCGTCTTACCCACTAGGCTCCCAGCCTGGAGTGGACGGGCCGGCCGGAAAGTCCGCATTTTTCTGGGGTGTGCGGGCTGCATGTTCAAAACCCCAGTGACAAATGTAAGTTTCCACTGACACTCGCCCCGCCGCCTGAATTAGATTAAAGGCATCTGTTCGCTGACTCCGAGGACGCCTGGGACACAGAAAACATTCAACTGGTGAGCATCCCGGCCCGGCGTGGGGAGAAGGGAAACGAAACCGAAGCGCGGGACCTGCCCGGGCCGGCGGGGACCCTGGGGCCGCGCGCGCGGGCGGGCGGGCGGGCGGCGGAGCAGGAAGTCGCCGCTGCATTCCCAACAGACAGATCTTGGGAGAAATCAGGAAAAAATAACCATATGAGGCCGATCCTATAAACATCCTGGTCTGGCGAGAGCTCCGTGTGACTGAGTTTTCACATATCTGACCTCGGGTCCGCGTGGGCCACGGCCCGGCCGGCTCCGCGGGAAACCCGGCGCTCATAACACAGAACACTTGTCGGCAAAGCAAATATTCGCCTTCTCCTCTCAGACCATTTACCTCGAATCATGTGGGATGATAGTGAGTTAGGAAAAGACTTTAAAAACCAACCCCAACCGCCCCCAACGGCATCACCCAAGTGCTGGCGTTTGATTTCCGAGTTTGCAGCCACGTTCTCTCTCAGTCCACGCCAGGTAAGAGGGGATTTTAAAAAAGAGTGTGTGTTCACGACTATTGCTCTGACTCACCCAGTTCCTTGTTTTACCAAATAATAATTGGGAGGAGGGAAACAGCATTAAGTTAACTTACGACTGTGTAAGGGTGAGAGAAAAAATGAGCTAATAAAAAGGTTAGCTGGCGGCCTGATTATACCATGATTTCAGGTGAAAATTACCAAGCTAATATCCTGGCATCTAGTCGCTGCCTTCTGTAATGACACAGTTGTCAGATGTGTATTTGTACCCACGGAGCAAAAGTTGGAAGTGGCATAATGGAAGATAATCTCTTTTTCTTTGTGGCTTTTTTAATTCAATGTTTTAATCCACCCATTTAATCACAAAACATATATCACATTAGTTATAATATTTCGAGTGCTTAGCAAAGTGATTATAAATAGATTACAGTGTGGTTGTTGGGTGCGGAGTGTGTGTGCGCGCGCGCACGTGCTAAGCAGCATTTCTCGGCTCTGCGTTGTTGGGGATGGTTTTACGTGAGAATAGGAACCATATATTTATTTCCAAAATCCCCATTCAGTTGTTGCCCAGCTTGCTCATTATTTCAGAAAAACAAGATTTGGTATCAAAAGGGCCCGTACCTACGATGTTTTCACTTCTGCGTTCAGTCTAGTCCCGTGGTGGGCAAACTGCGGCTCGGGAGCCACATGCGGCTCTTTGGCCCCTTGAGGGTGGCTCTTCCTAAGCCTTAGGAGCACCCTAATTAAGTTAATAACAATGTGCCTACCTATAGAGTTTAAGTTTAAAAAATGTGGCTCTCAAAAGAAATTTCAATCGTTGTCCTGTTGATGTTTGGCTCTGTTGACTAATGAGTTTGCTGACCACTGGAAACTTTTTTTTTTTTGTGGCTCTGCAGCCCCCAAAGTTGCTGAACCACAAATGTCTTTAATCTGTTTTTTTAAAGTAGTTGAACCATCCAGGAGAACGATGGGGCAGAGGGGGTTTATAAGGGTGTCAGGGTGAGGCTCTTCTTGGCGTGGCTGGCACAGGAGGGGACACACAGGGACTTGTGGCTGTGGAACTGCCCGACACACTGGTCTCACAGGGACGTGTTTCCTTACTGCACACACCGTGTCCAGCGGGGGCTTAGGGCAGCGAAGACGATGATAAAGGCCTGGGCCGGACAAGAGGTCGTGTGTCCCCGCGGTGCTGCTAGGACGGGGGCAGCATTCCGAGTCTGGGCTGCCGAGAGCCGGCCTTCTCGGAGGAAGGGGCGCAGGATGCCTGCACTTCCATCTCCCGACCCTGGCCCTTGACTGGGCGCCAGAGACCCCCCTCCGTCCTCCGCAGGAGGAGGGGCGCACACCCCTCGGTGAAGTCACCGGCTCTGCTGGTTGTCAGCAGCGTGGAAAGTGAAAGTCGGTCAGGATTTCGATGAAAAGATGAACTGGGAAACGTTTCTGTTCCATTTTCTAAGGCTGCATGTCCTCTCAGGAAAAAGGAAAAATCCACCCCTGGAAAGAAGAGGCTACAGTGCGATTCTCACCCGGGAAGCAGCCTCAGGAGGCTTCTGCATGTGGCCTGGTGTCCCCTTCCGCCCTCCCTCCCCCAGCACGTGTGTGTCACAGAGTGGGGGCAGCACAACTCAAGGCCAAGGCCATGGGGGTCTAGGGAGCCTCCAAGGTGGTCAGTGGGCAGCAGAGGTCCTTGGGGAGCTGCTCCAGCAGCCCCCGCCCAGCCTTGGCCAGGGCGGCCTGTTCCCCCTTTCCTGGGTAGTCCAACCCAACCTGGATGGAGTTTCCTGGGAGGAGGGCACGCAAGGAACTTTTGAATTTACCAATAGCATAAAAAGTATATATATATTTATGACAGCAGGCAAGTTTCCATTGGTTCACAGAAATGGCGAGATGTGACGTCAGTGACACTGTAGTGAGAATGCCAAGGCCGGTGGGGGCGGGGGGGGGGGGCAGAGCCATTGGGATGGGGCCCAGGGGCCTCCCTTCTTCGGGGCAGTCTTCATGGGTGCTTGAGGACAGCCAGGCCCATCTGGCTCTGAGCGGGGCAGGCCCTGGCAGGAAGATGGGTTATGAGCACAGTGAACCCTGTCAGGGTCTTCTAGTGCCATAAGCTCAAGCTGACCCCTCTGGGGGTGGGGGGACACTCAGGCGCCCCCGCAGAGCCGGCAACAAAAGCTGCTGTGGCCTCGCAGGATTCTGACCCTGCCTGGACCCTGGAGCCTGGCCAGGAGCGACCCCCTGCAGGGGCGGGAAGGAGCCGGGGCAGCAGTGCAGCCCTCAGGCTCGGAGAGCAAGGCTGCGGCCTGTAACTTCTCCCGCAGCTTCTGCGCCCTGGGCCCGGGGAGCAGGAAGTTGTTTCTGTGAGGAAGGAAGAGAGCAAGCTCGGAGCTGGGCAGCGGCTCGGGCACGGTGCCCACGCCCATCCCACGCCTCCCCGGGGCACTGTGAGGATTCTCTCACCTCTGCCAGGCACGTTTGACACCCCCTCCATCTCTGGGCACAGGGCGCTTCTCCCCTCCACTTCACCAGACCCCGAGCGCCCCACCCCCTACCCCGCTGTGCAAGGCGCCCCTCTCTCCGCCAGGCCCGCGGCGGTGTCTGGGAAGACCCCGTGGAGTCCCACTGGCACCGCCTTGCCCTGGAGAAAGCCGTTCACCACCGATGACCCTGAACTCTGTGCTGGAGCCTCGTCTAGAGCTCCATGGGGCTCACTGGCCCCCGCAAGGACCAGCCCGGCGACCCCGGCTGCGGCCCTCCGCTGCGGCCCCCGGCGCGCACAGGGCCGTGGTCAGACCGGGGCTGTCGGTCCGCCGGGGGTCCCCAAGCTGGGCCCGAGCGTGCGCGCGCGCCTCACTGCCCGCAATCATGGCAGCCGGGACCTCGAGCGCAGCCGCCGAGCGCGCTCCAGCAGCCGCCTTAGTGCCAGGGCGGCGGGGCGGGCTGGGCTAGCGCTTGCTGCCCACCCCCACCCCCCCGCCCCTTGGGTGCGCGGGCTCCAGGGCTCAAAGCAAAAAGCGGCTGGGTTCCCGCAGCGCGGTACCCCCTGCCTGGCGCGCGCGCGCGGGCGGGGCTGCGGGCGGGGGCGCGCGGGCGGGGAGCGCCCAGGGCGGCGAGCCCGCGGGGGCGCGCACGCGGGGCTGCGGGGCGAGGCGCGGGGCCCGGGCGGCGAATCCGCTGCTCGCGCCGCCGGCCCCGCCCGCGCGCTCGGGCCCTGGGAGGAGGGTGCATGGCGGAGGGGGGAGGCGGGAGGGGCCGCGCCCTGTCCTCGCCTGCAGTGGGCATGGCGGGGGCCCCGGGAGGCCTCGTTGGTATTCTGGGCACAGCCGAAGCTCTGACCTCTCTGCGGAACGGGGGCGTCGGGCTCGCGGGCACGGCCGTCGCCCCCAGGCGTTCTCTCGGGGCTGCGGGGCCCTGGGCGCCTGGCTTCCCCCCACCCTCCTTCCCCTCCTCCCCGGTCCCCCCCTCCCCCCTCCCCCGCCCCGATCCGGCGGCGAAGGGGTGGGCAGGGAAACGCGCTCTCTGGGACAGGTGCCAACTCCGAGACAAAAGACATAAAATAGGCGGCAACGGGGGAAGCGCGGCTGGCGCGCTCAGGCGGGGACGGAGGAGCCGAGGGGGCCTCAGCCTCGGTGCCGACCGGGCAAAGTTTGGGAAGTCGCCGGGCAGCCTCGCGGCGGCGGGGGAAGCGCGGGCCGGGCCGCCCTCCGCGCCGCGCTCGTTCTCTCCGAGCCGCTGCTGAATAATTCATGGCGCGGCCGCCGGCCATTAGCATGCACCGGGCGCGCGGCGCGTCTGTGCCCAGCCGCCGCCACCGCATTCGGCGCCCGGGCCGCGCCAGACGAGCGGCCGCGCAGAGCCAGGCCCGTGCTGTCCCCGCGCCCGCCCGGCGGCGCCCATTGTGCCTCGGGCCCGCGCCGCCGGCCGCCCCCCGCCCGCCCGAGAGAAAGCCGCCGCGCGCCCGGTGGCCCGGCGCTGCAAGTTCGGGCCCTCGGCGCCCGCCCGCCCGCCTGGGGATGCACGTGAACTTGGAGAAAGTCGCGAGGCGAGCGGGCCGGGACCTCCGCGGCAGGGCGTGGGCGCCCCTGGCCCGGCGCGCTTTCGTTTTCGGCCAGGACAAAGGTCCCTCGTGGCGCGGGGCGCGGGCGCGAGGAGACCGGGTCCCGCGGACCCTCTTGGGCGAGGGTCGGGTTGCAGAATAGCGAAGCCGAAGCCGGGAGGGAGAGCCGCGCAGCCCGCGGGGCCGGGGAAGTGCGGCCTGGCCGTGCGCTCCGCCGGAGCCGACCTGCGGGGGAGTTTGGGGAGAGGGCACCGCTTGGCTCTCTGCGGTTGGGGGCGGCGCGGGGGAAGGGAAGCGTCTGGAGCCCTGAACTCAGGCCGGCGGCCCAGGGCCTTGCAGCCGCGGGCAGGACCGCGCCGCGCGGGCCGCGTCCGGCGGTCTCCGGCAAGGGCAAGGCTGCCGACCTGCGCGCCGCGGGTCGCCGCGGGGTTCAGGGCGACTCCTGAGGACGGTAAGTGCCTTTCTCACTTTTGCTAGTTAGTGAATAATTAAATATTAATGAAGAGATTTCTAGGAAGAGCCCTTCTCCAGGACAGGCCTTCCGCAGAGGGGCGCTGGGAGGAGGTCTGCTCGTGAATCTGCA